CGTTTGGGAGCATTTTGTTCAATTCAATAAAGCATTAAAATAAAACAACCCACCAACCAAAACCAATCATCAGAACCGAATGTGTGACCAGGAGATTCTTAATTGACTTACAGCCGTGGGATGATGTTTCCAGCATACTGAACCAGCTCATAGAGATCAGCCACCTTCCTTCCCTTAGCAAACTCATCCGTCAAGTAAACCTCTAGATAGTGGAGCTCGTCAGAGATCGCCATGTCTTTTCCTTGCAATTAAGGAATCATAGACTAACGCAACACAACTTTGTTCATTTCCGTTCAGTACCAAGAACAAACCCATCTCTTAGGAACTAAAGGAGTAGATGTGGAGGACACCATGGAGCTAACATCCAGCCTAATAGGAGAACATGAAAATCAGGTTGGACAAGGCTGCAGTTTGGATCAGCGGCTGCAAATGGAGAAACATGAGCAAGTCACAGATCAAAAAAAAAAAAAAAAGAAGATGATTGCTGGTCTTGACATGTGCATGAAACTCCCTTCACAACTTTCCCACAACCACAGAGATATCCACAGATACTAAGAAGCATCATTTATCAGCTAAATGAGTCCCAGCCCAATTAAAGAGGATACACAATTCATAATAACTCTTTGGAGACAACATTGAAGTCCTCAGCTCACCAAGCATGTTCGAGGCATGTTTCAGGGCATCCATTAGCTTGTTTTTGTCCTATCAAAACAATAACATGTTATTTTCTGTCATACCTTATGCATATTCACTTTATCAATTAGTTCATTTGCCAAACAAACCCCAGAGGCCAGGATTATAGCCCTTTAAGGAACAATTGAAAAAGATATTCTGGATTATCATTGTTACTAAAGCTGCAAACCACTTGAAATATTTAAGATATTAAAACAAAGCTGGAAATAGGTTTGTGAATTTATACAATTTCTATCCCAAATTTTGGGGGGATAAAGAGATTGGATTCTTGCTATAGCCAATTTTTACTTAAAATAAGCATTATTGAACATTTTACATTTAAAAGGTTTTGAAAGCAGCACAAGTTTTTAAGTAATAGTAATTATACAATTAGCATATTTATGAAACATCAATGGATGCTTGCTGAGAAGAAAAAAACTTCTTCATTCAATGCAGCTTATGCTCAGAGAAGTACACACAAGACTACAAAACTATGGTTGCTGCTTTATCAGATTCAGAGTTAACATTGGAAGGAGAAAGAAAAGAAGAAATCAAGCCGACCAGTTCTTACCAAGCAGCGTTTCATTTGGAAAGACTGCACCTTAACAGCCTGTATGGCCTCATCCAGAAGCTTCTCTTGCTCATCTTGCGGAGACTGCTGTGTAGTTGGCTAGAAAACAAAGAAAGGAATGTTTTCTGATAAGACTATCAGGGCCAGCCTGTGCAAAAGACACCAAGGAGCCATGTAGCCCACACCATGTTCCTCACTAGTTGCATTAAAAACACAACTAACTTGTTCTGTCAGGGACACAACTGGGGAAGATACATAAAATATACTGAACATGAACAGGCCTTCAGTTTTCTCCCCGGTTTAGGAATATTAAACTGTTTTTTTTGGTTTAAAGTTGCTGTAACTTATTAATTCTGTATATTTATTACTGAATCATTAAACAGGCCTATATACCAGTTCTCATTTTAAAAATCCTAAATTTGTTCTCAACAATACTGCTTAAAACTTTATGGTCAAAGACCAGAAATTTAGTAGCAAAAATAAAGGCTGCTGCTTTGATGTTTTTAAAATCTTTATTCTGGTTGTATGCCAGTCAGAGCAGCTTTGGAGAGGAACAATATATAAATGCCAGTAAGAACAAAAAACAACACATGATTATTCTGTGTTGGAGAAGACTTCTGGGAATATCATGGACAGCCAAGAAAACAAATGAATGAATCACATAGATCAACCCAGCGTTTTCACTCAAGCACAAATGATCAGGCTCATATTATCCTCCTTTGGACACATATTATGTGAAGACCTAGCTTTTTGGAGAAGGCTGTAATGCTGGGAAAGGGGAAAGAAAAAGGATGACTAGCAGCCAGGTGGATGGATCCACTTAGAACAATGATGGGCGCATCACTGGAAGACCAGATTAGAGGCAGTTCATCATGGGGAATATTGATTTATGCAGTTGTTAAGAGCTTGAAGGCACATCAATCAAATTTAATTCTAAAGCATAGGTCAGTAAGCGCTATGATCTTCACACGGATGACCATTGCAACGTCCCCGTGATCATGTGATCAAAATTTGGGCACTTGGCAACCAGGATATATTTATGATTGCAGTATCTCGGGGACATGTGATCAACATTTGTGATCTTCTCAGCCCATTTCCAACAAGCAAAGCCAATGAGGGAAGCTGGGTTTGCTTAACAATCTCAGGGCTCATTTAACAACTGCAGTGGTCTGCTTAATAACCGTGGCTAAAAAAAAAAGGCCGTAAATTGGGTGCGATTGACTTAACTGCCTTGTTTAACAACAGAAATTATTGTGGGAAGGTCACAAAATAGGGCAAAACTCCCTTAACCGATGTCTCACTTAACCACAGAAACGTCGCTCTCACTTGTGGTTGTAAGTGGAGGACTACACATACAGGTAGTCCTCGACTTACAACAGTTCATTTAGTGACTGTTCCAGGTGACAAAGGCACTGAAAAAAAGTGACTTATGACCGTTTTCTAGAGTCACAACCTTTGCAGCATCGCTACCATCAAAACTCAGAAAACGTGGCAACGGGTTCCTATTTATGACCGTTGCAACATCCCGGGGCTCACATGGCCTCTTTTTTTATGGCCTTCCGACCAGCGAAGTCGATGAGGAAGCCGTATTCGCTTAACCCACCAGGTTAGTCATTTATCCCCTGCGGTGATTCCCTTAACAACTGTGGGCAAGGTGGTCGCAAAAATGGGGGAAACCTCCCTTAACCAACGTCTTGATGAGTGACAGAATCTTTGGGGCTCCATTGTGGTCGGCCCGTATTTGCATATGCCAATAGAGGCAGAGCCTCACGATCAGGAGATTGTGAGTTCGATCCTAGGTAGAGGCAGATATTTCTCTCTCCGGGCACATTGAGAATATGTCTGCTGAACAAAAGTCCTCATTGGCGACAGGAAGGGCATCCGGCCATTCAACACTCAACTCCATTCAGTTCCCCAAACTCCACCCCGCAAGGGATTATGGGGTCGTTAAATGAAGATGGAGGTGGGACTTGTGGACCCTCCTTACAACGATCAACTCATAATGACCTCAGCCTAAGTGACAAATTGGCGATCTTGCAAAGTTTAGAAAGGCAGAAGCCAAGTTAGAAAGGACACTGGGACAGAATCAGCATTTGGGGTGAACGGAGAAGGATCCAATCCCCCTTGGTAGTTTACTCCTCGAAACTCAAGAACTGAAAGAACTAGTAGGAACAAACTCGCTAAGCGACAGAAACTTGGGGGCTCCATTGTGGTCTGCCTGTATTTGCACATCCCAGTAGAGGTAGAGCCTCACAATCAGGAGGCCGTGAGTTCGATCCTAGGTAGAGGGCCAATTTCTCTCTCTCTCTCTCTCTCTCTCTCTCTCTCTGGGCACAATGAGAATATATCTGCTGAACAAAACGCCGCATTGGCGACAGGAAAGGCACCCGGCCATTCAAACACTCAGCTCCATTCAGTTGCCCAGACTCCACCCCGACGCAAGGGATTATGGGGTCATTAAAAGGAGATGATGAGTAAGTAGTCCAGCTTTTACCTTCACTCATGGATACATAAAAAGGTTCGCCTTATCACAACCCCTTATATTACATTGTCATCTAGGGAGATAAAGGTTTCCTTACAAGAGGGCTCAATTGTGGTCGTAAGTCGAGGACACTCTCTCTCTCTCTCTCTCTCTCTCTCTCTCTCTCTCTCTTTCACACACACACAAACACACAAAAGACCAGATCCTTTTGCTCCCCACACCAAAGAAGGGATCCACCCAACATAATATCTCCTTAAAACCCCCTCACCACCACCACCCCGAAACCCCTATAAAAGACACCTCCCCCCACAAGGGCCTCTGCCCAGCCTTGTTATTCCCCCTCAGCCGGGGCCCAGCCAGGCCCCACCATCCATCCATCCACGCCATCCTCCCCGTTCCCCAATTTTACACACGCGTGTAGGCTCTCCGCACGTGCACGTGACTCGGCTTTCCTTCCGTCTGTCAGGAAATCCCGGCCCGGCCCTTCCCCATCCCTGCTGGGCTGGGGAAGGATGGGAGCCGTAAGTCCCACCCGTCTATAGAGGCGTGGGGGGGTGCGGGGTGGAGAGAGAGTGGAATGGCCTCCCGTGCGGCGTTAAGGGAGCCGTTCCTGAGGGGAAATTGTCTCCCTCTCACGAGGAGCCGCACCGGGCAGGCCCGTCAGCCTTCCCCGCTCGGGAGGCGAGGCGCCCGACTCCCCCATCCTATCCCGGTCGGACAAAGGGGGCTTTTTCTTGCCGAGAGAAGCCTGACAACCCCCCCCCCCCCACACCCCCCCACCCGTCGCTCCCCTTCTTCCCCCCCCCCCACCCCCCAGGGGCCCCCCCCCCCCCCCGGCCCCCCCCCCCCCCCCCCCCCGCCCCCGGTTTTTTTTTTTTTTTTCCCCTCCACCTTCCCCCTCAGAGTCATGTGATTGCCCCAAGCGCCCTCCCCCTCTCCCCTCCTAGGCGCGCCTCCGACTGCCACTCTTCCCTCTCGCCTTCCCCATTGGTTCGGCGGACAGCGGAACGGCTTGAGGTGTTTGGGCGCGACGGACCAATCGGAAGCCAAGCCCTGCTTCCCTTTTTTTTTTTGGACTTCGAGTCCTCCTCCTCCTCCTTCTCCTCCCTCCCCCCCACCCTTCCTTTTTTTTTTGCGCGCGCGCGCGTCATAGAAAAAGGAAAGTGGGTGGGGCGAGAACGACGTTCGAAAGGGGCGTGGCCAAGGGAGGGGTTCTTTGAATGGAGCTTCCGCCAGCGCGGGAAAAAAAAAAAAGGGGGACAGAGAGAACGGCCGGGGAGGATGGAGCGGGAGGTGCTGCAGCGCTGGGCGGCCCAGTTGGGGGTCTCCACGCCCGGAGTTATCAGGTGAACAGGGGGTGGGGGGCCGGATGAGGAGGGGTTACAATTGGGTGCAGCTGGACCTTAATCTTCCCTCTCCCCCCCCCCCCCGCTCCAGGAGTAGCCCCATTTATTTATTTAATATGTTGCTGGCCGGGGATGATGGGTCCTGTAATCCATCGCCCCTGGAAGGCTTTGCATATGGGGGGGGAGGGGTTTGTAATGCGCCCTTTAACTTCACCTCTGGTGGTCCCAGCACGACCTTTTTGAAAGATAATCAGAGTTGGAAGGGACCTCAGAGGTCATCTAGTCCAACACCCCCCCTAGCCGAAGCTGGAGACCCTACACCTTTGGGACAACCATGGCCTGGATGACTGAGAATCCCTACAGGCTTCTATGTAGGGAGGATTAACTAATTGCAAAATATCAAGTGTAATATTAATTTCACAGCTGTGAAGGTAAGAGCTAGGACGTTAATGTCATCTCTTCTGTTGCCTTTCATACTGATGAGTAGCCTTTTTTTTGTGGTTCTGCAGAAAAGCCGAGGAATACCTCCGACTTTCTCACGTTAAGTGTGCCCCCCTGCTAGCCCAGATGAGCCCCACAAGCAGTGCGGTGATCTGCCTGGACTTGGCTGCTACCTTCACAAGGAATCCAGTGGACAAAGTAAAATACCTCTTTATTCTCTTGCCATTTCCTTTTCAAATGTTTTCCTTTGCCTTGCTACACGTTCCTCTCTATTCACGACCGTAACTGAGCCCATATTTTTTCTGTTTTTGTTCAAAATATTGCAGCATAAATTCAGTGCCAGAAAAGTAAACACAGATGGCTGAGGCCTATTGTAAAATTGACTTTATCTGTTTATAAAGAAGTTAAATAACTTCTTTATAAACAGATAAAGTCAATTTTACAATACCAGTTGTAGATTTCTCCAACATGGAGCAAACCCTAACAGAAGTAGACATGTTACGGGTTCGAGCAGAACACCAACTCGGGAGCTCAGAAGCAGACCTTGCCTGCTGAACAAGACACACAGCAGAGGAGAGGAGTTTCATTTTCAATAGACAGACTCAGGGCTCAACATAGCTGCAGAGCTTAATATAGAGCCATGCCTAGGCTACTTCTAGTTTCAGTTTCCAAACAGTCCTCATTGGCTGACTTAGTTGCTATGCCTATTCATTGGCTGACCTTGTTACCGTGCTCTGTTTCAGTTCATGAATATACTCTTGACAGTTTTAAAGACAGTTGTTCAGTGAGTGTTGTCCCGTTTTTTACGACCTTTCCTTGCCCCAGTTGTTAAGTGAATCATTGCAGTTGTTCAGTTAGTTACTGGGTGGTTTAGTCAATCTGGCTTCCCCGTTGACTTTTGTTGTTGGAACAACACAAAAAGGGATCGGGTGTCCCTGGGACACTTAACTGTTATAAGTGCATGCCAGTTGCCAAGCACCCCAATTTTGATCACATGACCATGGGAATCCTGCAGTGGTTTGTAAGTGTGAAAAACTTTTTTCAATGCGGTGGTAACTTTGATCGAACACGAAATAAATGGTGCTAAGTCAAAGGCTACCTGTATTTTTATGCCGAATTCTTGAGAATTAGACAGTAGCATTTCCCTAGAAGTTTTAACTGCTAGTACATAGGATAGGAATAACATGCTGTTTTGGGGTTGGTGCTAGGAATCTCTCACATTGGAATAGAATAGAATTAGATTAGATTAGATTAGATTAGAATAGAATAGAATAGAATAGAATAGAATAGAATAGAATAGAATAGAATAGAATAGAATAGAATAGAATCTTTTATTGGCCAAGTATGATTGGACACACAAGGAATTTGTCTTGGTGCAAATGCTCTCTGTACATAAAATATTTTTTTTTTTGTTAAGGGTCAAGAATCATAAAGTACAACAATAATAGTCATAGGGGACAATAATTTAGTTTTGGGGGTTTGGGAAAACAGGAGATGCTGTAGCCTTGTATGCAAAGAAAGCGATATATGTGGGGTTTGTTTGATATTGTATCCCATTCGCTATCGGACAAAAGTTGCAGGAACTTTTACCCTCCCTGACCCAAGAGTTTACTAGACAGGGCTATCATTTTATCAATTTATCAGAACCTTTGGGAGGCCACCAGCCTTTTAAACCTAATTTAATAAAAATCAGACTGCCCACAGTCCTGTTCATAAATATAAACAGGCCGGAGTACCAATAAGGACAAAAATGGTTTGATGCCCATAGGTAAAGTTTCCCCTCGCACATACGTGCTAGTCGTTTCCGGCTCTAGGGGTTGGTGCTCATCTCCATTACAAAGCCAAAGAAAAGCCAGCGATGTCCGAAGACGTCTCTGTGGTCATGTGGCCGGCATGACTAAATGCTCGAAGGCGCACGGAACGCTGTTCCCTTCCCACCAAAGGGGTCCCTATTTTTTCTACTGGCATTTTTACCTGCTTTCGAACTGCTAGGTTGGCAGAAGCTGGGACAAGTCACGGGAGCTCCTTCCCTGACAGGGCGCTAGGGATTCGAACCGCCGAACTACCGACCTTTCTGATCGACAAGCTCAGCGTCTTAGCCGCTATGTCCGTTTCGATACCCATAAGCAGTATTGAATAACCTTTTGTTAAATGGTGGCACGTGAATGTCTAGTATAAGTTTGGGAGAGAAAAAAAAACTTTATTGTTTCGTTGTTGTTGTTTTTCCTTTAAAGAGTTATTTTGTGAAGCTCTCTGGCTTGAACAGAGCCACTTACCAGCGCTACCTGAGATCCTTTGAAAGCCTGCTTGCTCTGCAATCCAACTTGGGCATCAGAGAGGTGGCCATTCAGTTCTCCTGTTTGGATGCTGCAAACCTGGCCTCCAAAATCCTGCAGAGGTAGGAAAGTATCATTTCTGCTTCTGGTTGAAAAAAAAAATATATTATTGGAATATGCCTGTTGCTGTTTCTCCAAAACCCTCAGGCCGGAGTTTCTCAACCTTAGCCACTTTTAAGACGTTTTACAGAATATATTTGACTAAATCCTTCCTCGTCTTTGGTGCAAACAAGATCGGGAACAGCTCTTTGGCTGTTTTTCGGGCTGTTTAGAAGCTGGTTTTGGGGTGGGGCTGGTTTTAGGCGGTTTTCAGACCATTTTCCGTTGCCTGCGAAGACCAGCCGGCCAGTGCACATATCAGAGATGGTATTTGGCAGGTTCTGGAGAACCGATAGCAGAAATTTTGAGTAGTTCGGAGAACCGGCAAATCCCACCTCTGACTGGCCCCACCAACCCCATCTCTTCTCTTGCCTCCCAAGTCCCAGCTTCTTTGGTTGCCCTGCACAGGAGAACAGAGCTGGAAAGCAGGTTAGTGGGGTGAGGAGGGAAGGGGGATTTTGCAATATCCCCCCCCCCCGCCATGCCCACCAAGCCACACCCACAGAACCGGAAGTACAAAAATTTGAATCCCACCGCTGATGCACATGCGCACCGGAAGCCGGAAAAGCAGCTGGCGACAGCACACGTACCCACAAAAAGGGCTCTGCCAAGCGTGCCATAGGTTTGCCATCATGGATCTAAACTGTAATATTAAAAATATGAAGCTGCTTGGATAGTTTGTTCCATCTGCCGTATCTAAAATTAGGAAAGAATAAGCAACAATCATTAAAAGGATTTTCCTGAATATTTTAATGGTGTAAGAGTTTACACGTAGCAAGTTTTCATCGCTAAAGATGAATCTCAGATTGAATTCAGATTTTGGGGACTTCAGTGACCGGTTTTCCCTTTCAGGTACGAATCCAGCCTGCCAGAAGTTCAAAAAGTGGCTCTCGATTTGTCGAAACCCTTGTTCACCACCGTGGCCTTGTTTACTGCTTGCAAGTAAGATTGGAGGAAATTACCCATTAATTTCCCTTGGGTTGATTGTAGGGTGGGAAGGGTTGACATTTGCAGTTGGAAGAAAATTGTTTATATTCCAGATTCTTGATTTATGGTGTGTTCCACAGAGAGGGAATGAACAGATTGCGATGAAGATCAAGGACAAATTATGGAACCTGATAAGACTATTGTTGCCATGAATCAATTTTCTTCTAAAAAAAAATATACTGTAGGAAATGACCAGGCTGAAACCCGAGGGAGGGGTTAAACGTGTCATAAGTCACGAGTCCCTGCGCACCCACAAGAGATCTAAGTCCAGTCCACCTTGGATGCCTTTCTTATCTCCTGCTTATTTCCCTCGACTGCTAGTTGTCCAGATTCTTGTAGACAGCTTCAGCTCGCCATAAAATCTTTATACTCACTTGAACTGCCTGAATCTCCTCATTTCCCCAGCACTTGACACATACCAGTTAAGAGGATACTTCTCATGGTCTCTGATTTTGATGCCATTGCTGAAAGATAACTACCCTATTTTTTTAATATTTAAAAAACTTTATTAAACAAATTCTACAATTAAAAAACAATAAAAACGTATTTCCACTCATTGCAGCATATTTGTAGTAATGTTCACTCACAGACATATTCTTAAGTATATAGAATATTACTAAATATTATTACAATTATTTTACATTTGATTTGTTATATTTTCACATATTTATGTACTTATTTACATATTTATACATAAGTATGCATAGTTGTGCCTATTCATACCAAATTATTTCATCACACCGTAACTTGTCATTTCATCTCTCTATTTTGTGTCTCCCTTGCAGCTAATTATATCATAAAAATGCCAAATTTCGTAGTGCTCTGTTTCTTCTCTCTCCTTCATTTCCATTGAAAGCCTATTTATTTCTGCACACTCTAAAGCCTTTTTTTAATCACTGTAATTAATTTAGAAGCAAAACGCATGAGAACCGTGGAATTGAGTTAGTGGTACTCTGTAATGTTCAAATAGTCCACTGAAAATGTCTTGAAGACGGTAGGTTTGAAACAGTCCAGATTATAGGATTTCGGTTCTCTTGTCCAGCCAAAGAGTCGATTAACATGATTGATGGGGATTGTAGTGTTGCTGTAGCACTCCTGAGATGTTTGGTCCTGCTGAGGTCTTTCCACAGGGAGGAGCCCTTCCCCAAATATCACATCCCAGGAATAGTTAGGGAGGCAATGGAAGGGGTCAGGTATGTTTTGAACATGTGGTTGGTTTTAAAATACTTTCTGTGTATTGTATTTAGTTTTAAACTATAAGGATTGTCGATTCATGGTCTGCTCTTGTTTGACGGAAAAGCAGACTCTTGAGAAAAAAAAGTAGAACATTCATAGAACAATGCAAAAAAAAAAACCCAACGATTAAAAAATACCTTAAATCTTTTAAAAATGTATAACAGACATGCTTTTCACAAGAAGCATCTCTAGCTGTTTTTTTTTTTAAATGTTTGCTTGCTTTAGTGATGAGATGCTGATGGGATGTAAATTCGAACTGGGAGCTTCTAATTGAGAGATTTGATAGCAGCAGCAACTGTTTACGGTGTAAGTTTAAATCGTTGGGCAAAGAAGGTCTTTTCACGAATCCAATCTTTCTTATTGCAGATCCTTGAAACTTAAAGTGGATAAAACCAAAATGGTGACCGTATCAGGGGTGAAGAAAACCATATTTGACCGGCTCCACACCCAGTTAGAGAAGATTAGCCAACAAATCAACCGTATGATTTTCTTTATGCTTTTTTGTCTTGTTTTCGCTTCTTGCAACTTGTTTTTTTTTTAAAAAAAATCACCTCCACATTTTTTTGTAAGCCTTTTATTGGAAAACTAAAGGTGAAGTGCCTGAATACAGCTGGTCCCCGCCCTGTGATCCAAATTGAGCCCAAAATGTCTGTTGTTCGCTGAGACTGTTGTTAAGTGAGTTTTGTCCCTGTTTTTGTAACCTTTCTTGCCAGTCTTAATTATTTTGAGGTGTTTCTTCATCTTTCCAATATTGTACAAAGATAGTCCTCGCTGCTGTTAAAACATGTAATGCTAAATTCATACTTCTCTTATCGAGTTTTTCTGATATCATCTCCAGTAAAAAAACGGTTCAGGTTTAAAATCTACGTGTTTCCCTATTATCTTTTCTAGCCAGCTATGTATTTTAAGTGAATCTGGATTCCCCATTGACTTTGCTTGTCAGGAGGTCCCAAAAGGGGATATGACCTTGGGATACAGCAACGGTCATAAGTATGAGTCAGTTGCCAAGCATCAGAATTTGGTTCATGTGGCCACAGAGATGCTGCAATGGCCGTCAGTGTGAAAAGCAATCCTAAGCCACTTTTTTTCAGGTCTGTAGTGACTCCAATCGGTCACTAAACGAGTGATTGTACATCAAGGATGACGTATATCAAGCTAAAAATATCAAGCTAAGCTAGGAAGCTTTTCATAGCGGGGTGGGGGCAAACATAGCTACTGCAATTTGTAAAGCCATGGCTTATTAGAAGTGTGACCAAATTCAATGGTAGCTTACTAGCAAACCTTGTTTGAACACGTGAGAACTCAACAGTTTGTTTGACTCAAAGCTGTTCCTCCAGAGTTTGAATCAACTATTTATGGCTAGTTTCAGTTGTAGACAGAAAGAGCAAATACCTGGATAAGTGACTTTGTGCCAGTCCCTCTTTGTCATCCCAACTCACCTCATAAGATCACTGTGAGGAAAATAGGTGGCACCTATTATTAGGTAGGCTCACCACCTTAAGTTGACAACATTCTGGACTTGGGTTGTCCTGTTTCCAACAAAGTACAACCAGTTTCTTCGTTCAGTTTATTTCTTGTGGCTTATTCAACTGAATGTAGCCATTGTTGTGCATTCAAATGTTGCCCAAACTTGACAATAGTTTCTTCTTCTTTTCAAGGAGAAGGTGATTCATTGAAGTTTGAAGAACCTCAAAAATCCTTCCTTGAAGATCTTGCAAAGGAAGAAGGTAAGATAGGCCTATTTATGGGCAGGTTCCTCAGCTAGGAAACATCCTTATCCTACTGCCCTCAAATAATTCACAGCTTTTATAGCCCAAACACGGCATTCCATCCTGGTTTGGAATTCTATAAACCAAACTCCAGAATTGCAGAAGTCTCATAACAACCAAGGTGGCTGAATGCCCAAGTTGTTCATCTGAATCTATTCCAAAACGCATATTTAAATGCCAGCTAGAGGTTCCACAAGCGATTTCTTAACAAGCAAGAGGGCTTCACTAATTCTGATGACCTAAGAAAACTGATTCTTCGAACTGTGTGTTTGTGCACAGACAAATATATCTTATTTTTTCCTCATTAGTTCTGGAAGCAAAAGTCTCTCGCAAGCATCCAAGAAGTGAAATTGAGCCTAAAGAAGATTATGAAGAATGGAAACGAAGAATCTTAGAAAATGCTGCAAAATCACAAAGAAACAGTGTGTGAGTGGAGTTGTTTCTCCAGTGAATGCAGATGTCAGTCTAGTTGGTTCGCCATTGTCAGGCTGGAGAACTAGTCTGTTGGGAGAAAAATAAACCTGAATAAAACTTGAATTCCTTGAACAGGCCGCCATGAAGCCTAGATAGACCTGCTTTTAAATGAGTTTAGCTCATTGATACTTCAGCAAAATGTGAGTTTTGTTTTTTGCATTGATACAACTGTAGTTCAGATAATTTCATGATTTGGCTCTGGTTTTGGGCAGCAAGATAGTTCCATGTCAGTTATAGCACACACTTAATGCAGCAGTAAAATAACTCTTCTATAAGAGGCATGGATTAAGAATATATGTTAATGCAAGATGCCTGGCTTTTATCTTCCCTTGTGTAACTAGTGGGAATCACAAAATCATACAGAATAATTAATGTCCCATTAACTCTTTTTAAGATTGGTCCTCTCAGCTTTGATTATTTAATTTTTTTTAACGATGACTTGTGTTAATTCCTCTCTGGCAGCCTCAATAAAGTTTTATTTGTGCTATAGTCTTCTGTTTTGGGGTTTCACTCTATAAATCCAGATATCAGCTTCTGAATTATAGCTTTGTCACCTCCGTAATGATACCCTAATCATAAATGAGCAGAGCAACAAATTGGTTAATCATTTAAGTAGGACTGGCTGGGGAATTCTGGGAGTTGAAGTCCACATCTTAAAATGGCCACGGTTGAGAAACATGGATTGAGAGGGTGAAAGAAAAATGACCATGGCAGCAGGACCTCAAACTGAATTTAAGACAAAAGATGCTCAGTATCTCAGTGCGCCTTAAATTGTCCACCTGGATCCAAGCATTTCCAAATCAAGTTGCAAGGATCTGACTTGAATGTTTGAATCAATTCAGAAATTCAGCTCCAAGGAATATTTCTGTGACTGAGGATTTTAACAGCTTTAAATTCTGTTCTTAATCTTTCCCCCACTCACATTGTCAGCAAATTAAGTCGTTTTTAATTTTTATCTCCCATTTCCCACGAAACCCCAAGCTGATATCTTGATGTCCCAAACAGTGGCAAATAATTATACAGATCATCGTTTAAGGAAAAAAAAAGTTTAGGAAAGTTAAGCAAAAGAGAAGCCATAAATGAGTGTATAAAAGGTAACTAATTTTATTTACTTTTCACATTTCTGCCCAGCTCAACTCCCTCCAAAGAGGGACTCTAATCACAATACAATGTCTTGGCAAGTGTTCTTAAAGCTATTGATCACTACCCAAAGTTCTACTTTAAAAGCAAAAATACTGAATTCAGAAAATAACTACCACAATCTCTGCAGAAGCTACATTTTCTGCTTGAAGAAGTTCAACCTTCCAACCATGGCTTGACATTCTCGAAACCCTAACCTCCTTAAAAAGAAGACAACCAGTCCCCAGCAGAAAAAGCCATTCCTAACCATTAAAATGTGCAATTACGGAAATGAAAGTCTAAGAGGTATCATTCAAACTGTTTTCTTCCTCTTGCAAGCAATAGGTTGTAAGACAACCCATTCAGTCAGACTTCTCTGGTGTAGGGAAGTCCCAAGGTGTCTTCTTGGGCTTGAAGGCTCCTAAAAGCAGACGACTGGCTGTAACAATTGAGGAAGAGGAGGAAAGGAAACGTGAAACTGGTGGAAATGGATGGGTCCCTAAAAAAATATCACCCAATCTCAGTTTTCTTCAGCAGTTGGAGACTCAGCAGGGTTAGGGAATCTTCTCAATCTGTTGGCAGCTGTGACCACATGGAAGTGCTTCTGTAAAAGAAACAAAAAAAAACCATGTTGGAAAACCAAGACTCTTGCAAGATTCCTCCAGGGTTGGATTGTACCTTCACCAGAACGGATTTCATCGTTGTTCTGACCCACGCCCTTTCCCAACAAATCAAACACAACCCAAAAGGAACAGAAACCTTGTAGTGCTTTTACAAAATAATTAGCTGGGATAAACACAAGCCTTGCCAGACTGTGCGAGACTTGCCAAAAGATCACAGACGACAAATAATTTGCAAAATAAGAATCAAACTCAGGATACTGGAATGTCCACGAGGCAGGAGTTTCAAAACGACTTTGCCTTCTGCAAAGAATGTTCATTTCACAGCTGACTTTTATCTTCTTGAAGGAGGGGCCATTACCTTGCAGCCTCACTCCCGAGTCGCCCATGCTGTTGGAGCTGCTCTTTCCTACGAGCAATCCTGCGCGCGCGTGCACTTGGCACACGCTCCTAAGGAACCTCCTCATTGCTGCTGCCAGCCCCCACAATCTCTGAAGGCAGCAGTCCATCTCTAATGGTCCTGGCTCCTCATCTGAGTCCTCGCTCTCCTCAGCCGTCCGCACCTGCTACTGGCTAACCACAACAATCATACAGACTTTTGAGATCTCTGCCCATATGGTTTTGTTTTTACATAATATTACCTAAGACTTTATACCAGTTGTCTACTCATCACGTTCAGTATCTATGGAGACTCTCAGTCCTTCAGGTCATGGTTGTCCCAAAGGTGCTTTTTCAGGAGGCAACTGGACTTTCTGGTTTTTCTTTGAAGACATTTTGCTTCTCATCCAAGAAGCTTCAGCTCTGACTGGATGATGGGGGAATGGAGAGCTGAAGAAGCTTCTTGGATGAGAAGCGAAACATCTTCAAAGAAAAACCAGAAAGTCCAGTTGCCTCTTGAAAAAGCATTTTTGGAACAATCATATTCAGTATGTATCTTCTGCTAGATCAAACTTATCCGTTGCTTAAAACAAGCTTGCTACAGTAGCAGATAAAATGTTTGGATATATAACATATTGATGTAATTAAGAGAAAAAGAGGCATAATTGTGTTCAGATCTGGCTTCTCCTGTACAGAAATATTGTCACCAATGAAGGTAAACATACGTGTCCGGGGATAATGTTGCAGGATCCAATCTGAGTCGGTCACCGGGACCAAAGTTTTGTTTTTTCCAAGTTTCTGGTGACCGGCTTGGATTGAATCCCACAAAAATATTGTCATCCGTAGTAAACACAACTGTTCTGACCCAGCTCCTCAAACACGACAATCCCTTTGTAGTTGAAGCAATGATTCCTTTATTAGGAGCGCCAACAGCCCCAGCAAAAATTTTCTCTCTCACCGCCGGCTAACAAATCTGTCCGGCAGGGAGAGGATAGTTGTTTGCCACATCTATTCATCTCCACCCACTGCCTTTTATCCCCAGAGCGAGGGTGGGGCTTCGCTAGCAGTGGTGACTCTTCAGTCCCAAGGACCAGCTCATAGATTTCCACTGCTCTCCTCTCCTCTGCCTTCTGTGCATCTGCCTGTCAGGCACCGGACCCAGCTATTCCTCCTCTTCCTCATCAACCACTTCCAGACTTGGGGGCTAATGTCTCTCCATCTGAGGGTTGACAGGTGGCCCAGGCTCTGCCTGCATCTCTCTCTCTGACAGCTCCATTCCCTCTTCCACCTTGGAGCTCCCAGATTGCCTGACTCCCACACCACCACCTCCTCCTCCTCTGCCTGCTGGAGGGGCCGACAGGCCACCACAGCAACATGGAGCTCAGAAAACGAAGAGGAGCGGCGTGGCATTTACCTTCCACTTCTTCTGGGCCATGTATTTCTGTAGAAGCATCTGAGACTTCAAGCGAACTTTCGATCTCTTCGCCTTGGTGGACAGGTTGGTCAGCCACTCGTGTTTCAAGCAGTTGGCTGCGCTTATTCTGCCACTGGGATATCAGGACCAGAGAAAGGAGAAAAAAAGAATTTGTGAAGGGACAGGTTGCAATGCAGGACATGCTGTCAGACCTACAGGTAGTTCCTCGACTTAACAATGTTTCATTTAGTGACCAAGGTTATAATGGCAGTGAAAAAATGCTTGACTTGTGGCTGTTTCTCACACAAAAATTGCAATATCCCTGTGGCCATGGGATTGACATTCAGATGCTTGGCAACTGACATGTATTTATTTTTTTTAAAGTTTTTTATTTTAACAACAAACAAAACAACATAAGACATACAACATAAAACATAAAAAACATCATCCTTCTTCATAAATTTACAAACAGTGTATCGGTTGGTTTACCACTTTTTTTTTGTGCATCCATTTCCTAAACGCTAACATAATTATATTACATAATAACTCATATTATCAATCAATAATTGCATAACCTAATATCATCACTCAAAAATCATTTATATATAATTTTATTAATTCATACTTTAACGAGATAACTATAATTTACTTAATTTATTTTGCAATGAATCGTAAGATTATACCAAATCTATCTTAATAAAGTTTTATAAAAATAATATCAAAAAAAATTATATCCTAAGTCTAAATGTTCTATTATTATGTTTTATTATCTAACCATTGATAAAAAAGATCCCAAACTTCATAAAATTGTTTGTCTTCTTGTTCTCTAATTTCAAATGTCAATTTACTCATTTCAGTACAATCCAATATTTTCTTAATAATTTCTTCCTCTGATGGAATTTGGCAACTGCCATGTATTTATGAGGGTTGTGCTGTTGTAGGGTCACCTTTTGCTACCTTCTGACAAGCAAAGTCAACAGGCAAGCCAAGTTCGCTTAACAACCATGATACTAACTTAACAATTGCAAATGCACTTAGTAACTGTGGTAAGAAATATTGTAAAATGGGGCAAAACTCAGTTAACAACTGTCTTGTTTAGCGACAAATATGTTGGGCTCAGCTGTGATCCTAAGCAGACGACTTCCTGTACATGCGCACCTTAGTCTGATCTGTACATCTTAAGCCATGATGGATAGAATAAGCACGATGGATTTTGGGTGCAGGCAACTCAATCCATTAAATCAGTGGTCGCCAACCAGTAGGCCGGGGACCACTGGTGGTCCACGAGAAAATTTTGGAGGTCTGCAGAGAAATGTCGCCCCTAAAACATCCCCCAAAGCAATTAATCCAGGCTGCACAACACAAACACAAGGCTGCAACTCCCACATGGCCCGCGGGAACACAAGGCTTGCATTGCGAACAACATGAAGTAGTGAGAGGAAGGAGGGAAAGGGCAGAGGGGGGGAACTTGCCCCACTCGCCCCACATGCCTCGCCTGGCCATCAGGATGCTGCTTCTGCTTTTGGCTGCACACCAGGAAAGCAGCAAAAATCTTTCTCTCCCCCAAACTCCACCAGAAATGAGTCTTTGGGACCCTGCAAGGCATCCTGCTCCAAGAGGTTGGTGCAACAAATCTCACAAAGACTCATTTCTAGCGGAGTTTAGGGGAGAGAAAGAAAGGCTTCTGCTGCTTTCCTTGCATGAAGCCAAAAGTCTCTCTCTCTCTTTCTCTCTCTCTTTCTCTCTCTCTCTCTCCCCCCCCCCCCCCCCCCCCAAGAGTGGAGCTGGAGACCCTATCCTGCGATCTCAAATAAATAAAGAAATGATCGATCGGTAGGAAGACGGGGTGGGGAATTTTCCTGCAGACTTTTGGGGGGATTTTCCCAGGGTCTCTGCTGCCTTCTGCAGAGACCCAGGGAAAACATCAGCAAGCCACCATCAGTCAAAATTCGTATTAGTGGTCCGCGGGATTTAAAAGTATGAGTTTGGTGGTCCCTGAGGTCCAAAAGGTTGGCGACCCCTGCATTAAATAACAAGGGTGGATATGTGGGTAGGGGGAGAGACTGAGAGGAGGGGAGGAGAGCTGGGATAAGACACCATAGCAAGTTAGCACCTTTTTTCCTTTATTAGAAGCCTGGAAACAAAGTCTTTGGCCTCTTCAGACACTTGTTCAAAAGCTTCTGCATCAAAATCCCAGTTGCAGTTGATTATGTAATTCATGGTCTCTGCGTCAGTCTCTCCAAGGAAAGGCGACAAACCACTGACCCTAAAAGAGAAAAGAGACGTTGCTCGGAGATGCTTGAGGGGTTGCAGCAGATAATCCACAGTTTGGAGGGCAGAGCTCCAACTGCTTGGGGAAAGGGGCCAAAATGCAAGAAAATGTCTTCAGGTGACGATGTCTTTGGGATGAGGTCATCGCTTGATGTCTACATAGTCTCAATCGGGCCATTATTATTATTTTTTTTGTCAAAGATAGGGATGTTTGCCAGCTTTCAAGGCCAGACAAGATAAGCCAAGTGCTGCCACTGTTGAGACAAGGAACAATCTGTACAGCTGTAATCCTAAATAAAAACATACACGTTGACTGAAACAAGAACTATGATTTGCTACGAGTCACACCCCCCCCCCCAAAAAATAAGTAGAACTGGACGTTCCACGCTGTATTGGCGTCCACAGAATTCAGGAGGAGTTAGGACTTACACCGTTTGTGGGACCGTAATGATTCTAGGCTGATGACTTGCTTAACGCAGCCCCTCCCCAGCTTTGCCTGCTCTTCTACAAACTTGGTCCATCGTGATCTGGTGGATCTTAAATACTCTACGCAAAACCTAGCCACAGGTGCTGCAATAAATGGCAATTCATGTAGAGGCAGCCTCTAGGCATAGGCCAAGTTTAAGCAATCATGAAAAAACACCAAGAGATTGTTCCCTTGATGTGGCTTATACTCATTCAGCCTTCTCCCAACTGCTGTATCTCATAAAGGGAACCAAAAGAACAACTACCTGAAAGATCTAGCCATCTTCTGCCATTCTGGCCCCCTCAAATGTTCTACCTGCTCTGACCTAGGCTTCCCCAACAGCACGAAGCAGACTCCTCATCCCGAAAACTCCTTTTATTTAGTTTACAGTGAATTCCTCTACAGCAAAGTCCCGGCCAACAGTCATTCAAGATATTTCCCAATTATAGACCTTTATTAGACTTGGAGAGGTGCCAGGCTGATATCTTTCAGACGCCACACTGTAGCAGACAATACTAGAGAAGAACGCAGGAACAGATCTTCAGATGAACTAATTGTCTCCTGCAAAACCCCACTCCCCTTTCGCTCCTCTTTTATTCCCTATGGGAGGGGCCATTCATCGTCCACCTGTTGCTTTGCTCCCAAGTCGACCCTTGTTCCTTAGCTATTCCCTTCTTTTGGCAGCTCTGTGCATGCGCACACTGGGAACAGGCTCCAGCTGTTCTTCTGCCCCACTGATCTCCGACTCCGAAGGCAGCTGATAACTGTCAGACGGCCCTGAGCCCGTCTCTGCCTCTGACACAGAACACTCGTCAGAGCCTTCCCCAGACTCCAGGACTGACCCATGTTCCTCCCCAACTTCCTCACTGTCTGAATCTGCTGCCAGTTCTGCTGGCCGCTGGCGGGCCACAACACTACCCTGGTCTTCCCTACTGAGCTGTTGTTGAGAATGCCCCCCTTCCCTTCCTTTGAAAAAAAACAACAGGGTTTACTCACAGCATGTACGCTATGATGCCTACGCTCCACATGTCTGTTGGGAAGGACACAAAATCATAGTTGACAACTTCGGGAGCCAAAAATTCAGGCGTGCCAAAATTGACTTTCAGCTTCTCACAAGGCTTGTACCTTGAGCAAAGATGAGAAAGGGAGACAGATGGTTGGTGAGCGTAGAGAGACAAAGATAGACAATGAGTTTATAGCGATAGAGGCATCGAGGCGCAAAGATAGTGTGATCACTGTCACGTTCTAGCAAGAAGGGCTTTTGAGTGAAAGCTCAGTCACCATGGCAATGGGTGGCATTTTAGTGAACTTCCAGACGAGAACACAAAATATTTGTAGAGTACAAGGGGAGATGCCGAAGGAATAAAGAAAACAAAGCGTAAAGAGGAGGAGACACTTACCGCCTTGCGAGCCCAAAATCAATTATTTTAATCTGGTTCCCACTGTGGCTCACACAGAGGATGTTTTCAGGCTGCAAAAGAAGACAGAGGACAAACTTAAAGCTTAATCTTTAGAATCCTTTTCCAGAATTCATGCATACCGGTAGCGGGTTCCAAACTTGCCTTCAGATCAAGATGAAGGATGTACTGCTGATGCAGGTAGTAGATGCCTTCACATATTTGTTTGGTAAACAAGATGGCGTCCAACTCAGTAAGATTGTAGTTTTCATCTATAATCCGGTCAAATAACTCTCCACCATCGACACTTGTGGAACAAGAAAAGGCAGCGTTGAACAAGGACAGTTGTCATGGAGGTGGACAACTACATATGCCCCCTTTTCTTGGAAGTGGCAACCTCTCCTCCCCATATCATACATAGGCACTGACTTCTGATTTTTAATTGCGATAGAAGGAGGACATCCATCCAAGCACAATGGACACCCATCACAGAGCTGTCAAAGCAAGCCATATTTAAGGTGGTCCAATTCTGTCTATCTCTTTAGCGTGATTCTAGCTTTTGTTTGAATGCATTTCCCTTGACCAGAAGAAACCAGCTTCTCAGTGCAGCTAATTTACCTCAGAGAATGCCATGTCCCAAATTTAGCAATCAGGTCCTGCAAGAATGTGAGGGGATCAACTGAGAGTTTTCACAGCTCAACCCAGAAAAAAAGGTCCTTTGAGTTCAGCAAGGCTCATTCCTTGGCCCATGTTCTCAAGATCGTACCTGATGGCCCACAACCCTCTCAACTCTTTCATGGGACAGTAAGATCTGGCTGTTTTCCACAGGCATTTGAGCCAGGAGGTCAGATGGGGTTTGCTACTATTGATGTGTTTTCTTTTTGTGACTGAGGTGTATTGTTAAAACCTCAGGCGCTATGAGTTTCATGTTCTGGCTGTTGTTCGCTGCCCAGAGTCCCTTTCGTGAGACAGAAGGCCACCTCAATTATCTAAATAAATCGATATCTTAAAGTTCACTAATCAACAAACATCTCTGAGGCTAAATTTTAACAGGGGAGGTTGAGATCAAGTTAAGATTGCTGAGTGTGGAGCAGGAGTCATCAGGGTACGCTTCTGAGGTTATATTCAGCCCACACAATACCTCATCTAGAGTTTCCTGCAATTGCACTATTGCTTTGGTGGCAAAATTAATGAATTTCAGCAGTGTGATTTTGGCCTGCTTTTGTGTTGCTTTGAAGGAAAAGGAAGCGGTGGCTCAGTGGCTAAGACGCTGTGCTTGTCGATAAGAAAGGTTGGCCGTTCGGCAGTTCAAATCCCGCGTTATGCACTGCATAATGGAGTGAGCTCCCGTGACTTGTCCCAGCTTCTGCCAACCTAGCAGTCTGAAAGCATGTAAAAAATGCAAATAGGAAAATAGGGACCCCTTTGGTGGGAAGGGAACAGCGTTCCTCCGTGTGCCTTCGGTGTTTAGTCATGCCAGCCACATGACCCCGGAGAGGTTTTCAGACAGCGCTGGCTCTGCGGCTTTGTAACAGAGATGAGCATTGCCCTCTAGAGCTGGAAACGACTAGCACAAATGTGCGAGGGGATCCTTTATCTTTTTAAAGGAAAAGAATTGGGGTGTTAATTACTCTTCTGAAGGTCCAGAACTGGCCAAAATATTTTTGGTTACTTCCTTTTCAGTGATATCATCAGGTTGCCTTCTGTAGATATTCAGAAGACTGAAGGATGAGTTGGAGAACCTGCCTATCAAACACTGTTATCCCTTTACAGTAGTCCTCGGCTTAACAACCATATAGTTAGTGGCCAGTGTTACAACAGCACTGAAAAAAAGTGACTTATGGTCGTTTTTTTTCACACTTATGACCATTGCAGCATCCCCATGGCCACATGATGAAAATTGGATGCTTGGCAACTGGCATGTACTTATAACGGTTGCAGGGATGCCGGAGTCACACACTCCCTTTTTACAACCTTCTGACCAGCAATGTTAATGGGGAAGCCAGATTCACTGAACAACTGGGCTATTAACTGAACAACTGCAGTGACTCACTTATCAACCATAGCAAGAAAGGTCATAAAATGGAGGGAAACTCAATTAACAAATGTCCCACTTTGCAACAGAAATTTGGGGCTCAGTTGTGGTCATAAATCAAGAACTGTCTGTGTTAAACCTTCCAAATATGCTCAGACTACTTTTCCATAATTCCCTGCCATGCGATAAGTCATTTTCATTCTTTTTCTTTCTTGATGAAGGTCCCAAGATCCGTATTTTGAACTCACCTGAGTTGAATGGGTCTGTTAGTTCATTTTCTTAAAATTCCCTTTAAAAATCATAATACTTATTTTAATCTTAACACTCTTGTCACTTGTTAGGAAATGTTCTAGCTTCCCAGCTACTTCCGCCAAAATGGTTTACGAATCCCAGACCCTGAAAGATCTCAAAAATCGTTCAACTCACTATTCCATGATTAAGGTGAGGTTGTTCTTGCTCTCAAAAGCATCATAAAGTTGAATTAGGTTCACGTGGCTTAACTGGTTCATTATATTTATCTCATTCTTCACTTCTTCCTGAAATGTGAGTAGTGAAATATATTATTAGCAATACGCATAGCAAGAAAGTAGAAATCTTTGCTCAGGGGTGGGATTCTACCGATTCGGCCTGGTTCAGTCAAACCAGTAGCTCCGAAGATCAGCTGGGAGCGAACCAGTATGCTCTGAAAATCAAGGTATCTCCTTTTGTTTCCCCCACCGATCAGCTGTTTTCTGAAGATCAGCTGTTTTCTGAAGATCAGCTGTGCCACATGATTTAGATTAGCTAGAAAGCAGGAAATCGTGGAAATTGCACAGCACAGCTGATCCCCTCCCTCGCTGTTGTATTGGTTCACCCAGGAGGCTTACCTGAGGCCCAGGAGGCCAAAAAACAAAATAAAACATGCCCACCCAGTCACATAACCACCTGGCCACTCCCACCTAGCCATGCCCACAGAACCTGTAGTTGAAGAATTTTCTTCCCACCTCTGTCTGTGCTCCTATTCCAACCCCCTTAACCCATGGACTACTACAAGATAATTTTTATATCAAGCTATCCGGTTGCGAAAGATCTTGTTTTGCAGAGAAAACATTGACCAGGGTGGATAAAGATCGATGGGTTTTTTTTTAATGGATTTTTAAAAATTTAAATCAGATTTTTTTTATTTTGCTCCAAATTATTTTAATAAAATGCTTTTGGAGTTAAAAAAAAATCTGTCTAAAGATAGTTTTCTATTTAAGGTACCTTAATCGTTTAGTTTATTTAGCATGAAATGGAGTTTAGCTAGGTAGCGTGAGCCTCTATGTTCTGCAGCGTTTCCATTTTGGGGTAAACTCATTCAACGGATCCAAGCTCTGCAAGCTGAGAATAACATGAACTGCATTGATGCATTCACACAATTTCACCACAGAGGTGACAGTTTGCTCTTTAAAAATTATGATTTAATTCACCTCGATTTAAATCAACCCTTTTTTTAACTAGTGATTAAAATCATGATTGAAATCATGATTTAAATTGACTAGATTTAAATCAAATCCACCCGGACACTGACTGAAATAAGAGGTCTCTTTTAATCCCGGTCTTTTGCTTGTTTTCTTTTTACTTATATATATATATATATTAAGCGGCTCTCCTTACCCTTTCTTTTGCTAATTTCACTTTGATGATCTTGGCGGCCAGACAGAGTCCCGTGGATTTTTCTGTACACTTGTGCACTTGACCAAAACGCCCCCTGTTGAAAGATGGAGAATACAAAGCGATGAAACCCACAAGGAAAACAACCCCAGGGCCAAAGGGGGGGGGCGACACGCCACCGACGCCTCCTGAGACCAACTATTCTTATCATCAATTAAAAATAACTTGGTACAAAGCGAATGGAATCAAAGAGGTCAGCAGCCCGAAAGCTCTTCTTTCTCCCAGCTTAAGAAGGATTAAGCTTGATCTTTCCAGAGACAGTTGTTCGATGCTTACGTTAAAATCTTACTCCCCCGGTTGTATTCTTTCGTGGTGGAACAAAATATGACAACCTGGAGGCGGCCTGTGGCATATTCTGCAATTGTACATGCTTTGCCGGTTGAGCAACGAATAACCCAAAAGAGGGAATAATATTTTTTAATCAATTTTATTAATTTTCTACTGTGTTTCCCCCAAAATAAGACCCTGTCTTATATATATATATTTTTTTTTGCCACCAAAAAAAAAAAGGCACCAGGTCTTATTTTTGGGGATGTCATCCACTGACTAACCTCACTTCTGCACGTTGTCCCCAGCCTCCTTTTCACTGTCAGAGGCCTTCAGGAACTTCTGTGGCTGGCAAGGCTTTCCTGGAGGCCTCTGCAGCTTCTAAGCGAGCTCTGGATCGATCCTGAGCTTTGTAATCAGCTCCAGAGGCCTTCAGGAAAGCCTTGCCAGCCTTGCAGGCTACAGACAAAATGGGCCAGCAAGGAAGGTGTTGGGATGTGCGAGGCCTGGATACAACTGTCCAAAGGTAAGTAGTAGGGCAGCTCTATCCTCCTAGCCCCACCCTAGCTTAATTTTTACCCGTGTCCTCTGGAGTGGGCGCGATCTTAATTAGGGCTTATTTTTTTGGGGGGGGTAGGACAGATATTGGGTGTATGTGTAAAAATCAAGCTAGGACTTACTTTCAGGGTAGGTTGTATTTTTGGGGAAACAGGGTATTCGTTATTTTTCTTAGTGCTTAATAAACATCGTGTGGTTTGGGTATTAAATTTGCTTAGCAGTACAAATGCCATTCTTACTCTCTCTCCCTTTTTTCCAACCATTGGTAAAATAAATTCCAAGTTTAAAAATATTCTGTGTCTTCTTTCTGTTTAATTTAATTCAATGTAAGACTTACATTGAAAATTAAACAGAAAGAAGACACAGAATATTTCCTGTCTCATTTCTGCACAGTCTAATATCTTCTTAATTATCTCTTCATCTTGAGGTGTTCCTTCGTCTTTCCAATATTGTACAAAGATAATCCTCGCTGCTGTTAAAACATGTAATACTAAATTCGTACTTCTCATATTGAGTTTTTCTGATATCGTCCCTAGTTAAAAAAACAACAACTCAGGTTTAAAATCTACATGTTTCCCTGTTATCTTTTCTAGCCATCTATGTATTTCTGCCCAGAATTTTTTTGTTTTAGCACCAGTCCACCACATATGATAAAATGTGCCCAATCTTTTGGTTACATTTCCAACATTTGCTAGACCTATTTTTAAACGTATTTAGCTAACCTCCCAAGTGGTAAATTACCATCTATAAAACAGTTGAAATAGATTTTGCTTTGTAAGAAGGGAATAATTTTGAGCTAGGCCGATCACTTTCTAAACGAGGCCAGAGCCAACGAGCAGAATTAGCCAGTCTCTACCCCACATTACAACTTCTAAGGCATGGGGGGAAATCAGTATGGGTAGTCCTCAGTTTATGACCATAATTGAGCCCATGATTTGTACATTTGTACCCCATTTTACAATCTTTCTTGCCACAGTTGTTAAGTGAATCACCACAGTTGATAAGTTAGTAACATGGTTGTTAAGTGAATCTGGCTTCCCCATTGACTTTGCTTGCCAAAAGGTTGCAAAAGGGGATAACATGACCTTGGGATACAGCAACGGTCATAAGTATGAACCAGTTGCCAAGCCTTTGAATTTTGATCACATGAGCATGGGATATACTGCAAAGGTCGTAACTGTGGAAAACAGCCCTGGGTCACCGTTTTTTCAGGGCTGTTGTGGTTTTGAATGGTCACCGAATGAACTGTTGTAAGTTGTAAGTAGAGGACCACCCTCTTTTAATGACCCCATAATCCCTTGTGGGGTGGATTCTGAGCAACTGAACGGAGCTGAGAGTTTACTGGCCGGATGCCCTTCCTGTCACCAATATGGAGGTTTTTTTCTTTCCAGCAGATATGTTTTCCTCGTGCCCACAGGATCGAACTGACAGCCTCCTGATTGTGAGGCGAGACCGCCACCTCTAGGCCACCGCACAACTATCTGTGCTATAATGACATTAAAAATTGTACAAGCGGCCCAGTGATTTTCTATAAATCCATTCGGAAGTGTCTGGTTGTTGGAAACAAATTCCTTTGCAACTGGGCAAGGCAGAATCAGCAAAATGTCTGGATTCGGGCAAAAATAAGGAAGAATTTTTGGGAGTCCTACAAACAGATCGGTTTACTGTTTGATCAGTTGCTGGGGAACTTCATCAGATATCCACGAATATAGCCCCGAAAAGAAATATTTAGGCCACCAATGTATACAAGTGGCCACTTTCCTAAAGTCAACAATGTACACCCAGTACCGGTAATGCTTTTTCTTAATAAAAAAAAAACAAGGAAGTGTGTGCTTAGATTGCCAAACAAGAAATTTGTGACATTAATCTTCCATCCCTTAGAAGAAAACTAAGGGACAAGGGAAATAAACTGGTCCTCCTGAACTTTCCTTCCAGCATCAGGTTTCCACCATCCTTCCAGTATACATTTGTCAGGTTGTTTTGCCAAGGAGGTTTCAACACACAGCAAGATCTCTTTGGGTGTGGGATGGACAACTGCCGAGGCTTCATCCCAACCTCTACCACTTCAGACCTCTGTTTCCAGTCTTCAGAATGAGCGAGGCTTTCCCCCAACCAATATGGGCTTTTGAGGGCTATATTCGTGGATATCTGATGGAAGTTCCCCAGCAACTTATCAAACGGTAAACCGATCTGTTTGTAGGACTCCCAAAAATTCTTTATTATGCATCGTTCAGTGGTTGAAAAACCGATTTTCAGATTTTGCACGATACCTTGAGATTCCTACATTAACAAAAAAAAAAAAGGTGGATTTGCTATGCAACGGCCCCGTGTTAAGCCTAATCACAGCAAACCCTCAGTAGCCCGTGTTTAAAGGTTCCCCTCACACATACGTGCTAATCGTTTCCGGCTTTAGGGAGCGATGCTCATCTCCATTACAAAGCCAAAGAAAAGCCAGCGCTGTCCGAAGACGTCTCTGTGGTCATGTGGCCGGCAGGACTAAACACCGGAAGGTACACGGAATGTTGTTCCCTTCCCACCAAAGGGGTCCCCATTTTTCTACTTAAATTTTGTACCTGCTTTCGAACTGCTAGGTTGGCAGAAGCTGGGACAAGTCACGGGAGCTCACTCCGTGATGCGGCGCTAGGGATTTGAACCGCCGAACTGCCGACCTTTCTGATCGACAAGCTCAGCGTCTTAGCCACTGAGCCATCGCGTCCCCTTTAACTAAGTTCAGCATCTTACAATTGCTAGAAGTTGCACTGGCCTGGTTAAGTATATTATTCGAGCACTTCCTTTGAAATAATTCTTACCTTCTATGAATTTGGGTGCTGTGACCTTCGTTGAACTAGCTGAACATGTGCAAAAACGGTCCCTGAAAACTAATAGTGTGAGGACAATATTTGTGACGGTCTTACAGCAGGCTTTAAAAATATTTATATAACTGGAGGGTTGAGAAATTATTTGCAAGGTAAATAAAATGATCACGCTATACTGAAACTTACCCTCCCAGCACTTCATCGTGGCTTACAGCATATAAAGTGGTTAACTCAGTTTGTTTGATGCTGACAATGCGATGCTCGAAAGGAGCTGGAGGAGGAGGACTGTCATCTGAAGAAGAAACAGAGGAACATAGCTTTGTTTTTTCCTGCAACAGACCGATGGACATCATCCTGACATCTTTCATCTCTTTCACTAGCACTGATAATGTTACCTAGTTGGGTAATGAAATGTCTGCAAGAAAACAAGCCCAAAAGAGCCCAAGGACCCCTCATGTCAACCCTGATCTACAAATATTCTCTCTCTCTCTCTCTCTCTTCCTTCTTCCCTCCCTCCCTATATTCCTTCATTCCTTCCTTCCTCTTTGGTACTAGCAACTGATGATGTTACCTAGTTTGGGTAATGAAATGTCTGCAAGAAAACAAGAAAGCTTGAAGATTACCAAAGACCCCTCATGTCAATCCTGAGTTACAAATATTCTTTCTTTCTTCCTTCCTTCCTTCCTTCCTTCCTTCCTTCCTTCCTTCCTTCCTTCCTTCCTTCCTTCCTTGTTTTTTCTCTCTCGCTCTCTCTCTCTCTTCCTCCCTCCCTCCCTCCCTCCCTCCCTCCCTCTTTGGTACTAGCAATGATAATGTTACCTAGTTAGGGTAACGAAACGTCTGCAAGAAAACCACCAAGCTCAGAGAGCACCAAGGACCCTTCATGTCAACCCTGAGCTACGAATATTTTCCTTTATTGGTGCTTCTTTCTTTCTCCAGATGGAGAGATATAAAATAAGTACATCAGAGACTATCCACAGGTCAAGATGTTTGCAATGGTGTAGGTAGAAGGGAAGAAAATGCTAAGTATAACTCTTTGGAGAGACATACAAACTTATAGCCATGTGGTGCTTTTATATCTCATTTTGCAAATGTTGATAGCTTATTATTAATCTAACTATTTCAGGCACCTGGAGCAAGTATAAAAAGTTCTGTGTACTTCATTTACATAGACAATTGGTTTCAAACATCACAAGAAATTGTGATTTTTTTAAAAAAAAAAACCTAGTTACTTGAATATTTGAAGATTTGGTTCACTCATAACAAACATACTATAAATTATAAGTCCACAATTCTCATTTGCAGATATGTACTTTGCATTAAACTAAACCATTAATCTACACTAAACCAAAATAAAACCATGTTATTATTTAATACAAGGTTCTTCTTTGTCTTCTTGAGCGTTGATGGATATGGCACAAGAAGAAAAAAAACATTGCATTAAATAATAACATGGTTTTATTTTGGTTTAGTATATTGTACAAACATGGCAAGGGTGCTTATCAAACAAATCAAGGCTTACTATATATAAATTCAAGTCCCACATCAAGGACAAAAAAATTTAAGCTAGCTTTTGCCTCAGTGTGCTTTTTCTTTTCCGTTTTCTGGAGGACCATTCAATCATATTCATCGCGGTCTTCTCCAAACGCAACTTCACCCATTCAGCAGCTGTGATAATCTGCTCTGCAACTAAACATACCTTAAAATCAGGGGTCCCCAAACTTGGCAACTTTAAGACTTGTGGACTTCAACTCCCAGAATTCTATGCTGGCTGAGGAATTCTGGGAGTTGAAGTCCACAAGTCTTAAAGTTGCCAAGTTTGGAGACCTCTGCTTTAAAATCATAGGAGCTGCTCTCTATAGTATAGTATAGTCCGCTCCTGTTCTGTATACAAGATTTTGGATTTGTAAGTAGGTGCAACCCAAGAGAGAATGTGCAAACGATCCAGAAATGGTTACTTACCAACGATCATCTCTTCCGCTTTAGTAGCTCCCATGAATGCAGTAATCTCTGAAACTTTCTCTGGTCCCTGTCTGGATCTGCTTTCTCGTCTCACTAAAGAAACTCTCCGTGGTTCCACAATTTCGGGCTTGCCGTCTTTGAAGGTCTTTGCCATCTCCTTGGGACTTTTTCCTGAGGCCCCCAGATCTTCACCAAAGTCTTTTGGGGTGGAACTTGGACATGGGAGAGTCTTGCATTGACTTTCTCCTTTGTCTTCAGCCTTTGGAGGTGATGCTGGTGAAGGAGGACCTGACAGTTGAGGAATCTGCTGGCTCCTCTGATTGGGAGAATGGACTCCTTTCAGTTCTTGTGTGGGCTCAGTCTCGCTGTCCTTTGAGGGCTCCTTGGCTTTAGGAGGTTCTTGCAAATGCTTACTTCCTTCACCCGTTGGCCACAGAGACAGCAGAGCCAACCCTCCAGCGTGTCTACCTGCAGAGCTATCGACACCTCCTTCTTTGCTTCTCAAAGCCTTGTCAGCAGCATCGTTCGTCGGTGCAATGACTGAAGGCCTGCAAAGAAATCGGGGTTTAGATCTTTCCTTGTAGCGTTTGAATTTAATTTAATCAATATTTGACCCGGTTACTTCAGGAAGGCCTTCAGGAAGGCTGGAGTTGGCAGGCTTCAAAAGTGTCTACCCTGCACTCTACACTGCCCAAGGCTAGTTAGTGATTATGGATCTATGTTTTAACCTCTGGAGTACACTGGGAGGGGGGGTGCGGTAGCCTAGAGGTGGAGCTCTGGCCTCATAATCAGGAGGCTGTGAGTTCGATCCTAGGCAAGGGTGGGCTTCAAAAATTTTAGCAATGGGTTATCTGCCTGGTTGATGGGTGGGCGTGGCCATGGTGGACATAGCCTAGTTGGTCTCCTGCACCATGGGGGGGGGGGGCTTTTTGTCTTCCCTGGGCTCCGGAGGCTTTCCATGAGCTTCCGGGAGGGTGAAAATGGCTTCCCCAGGCTCCAGAGGCTCCCTGGAAGCCAGAAACAGGCCCATTTATGGTCTTCCCGAACTTCTGCGAGTCCCGTTTTTCACCGCACACGCCCTGCACTTACCTGCATCTAAAATGGGCCTCATGGGGACTCCTGGGAGGGTTGGGCAGGTCCAGCCAAGAGTGGGATTTGGGGTTGTCCGAACTGCACAGAATCTTAGCTAGGGGCTCTCCTGAACCACTGTGAACTCCCAGCAACCCACCCCTGATCCTGGGTAGAGGCAGATATTTCTCTGGGAACAATAAGAATATATCCACTGAGTATAACTCTGCATCAGAGATAGGAAGGGCATCCGGCCAGTAAACACTCTGCTAGCTCCATTCAGTTGCCAAGACTTCAATGCAAGGGATTATGGGGATCATTAAAAAGAGATGATGATCTGGAGTACACCAGGTTGTGGAAGGCCAACAGAGATCCTATAATGAAATTTTGTCTTGCACCTCTTTCAGATGTGCTCATGGATATAGACATGATGATAAAATAGCTCCGTGGTCCTTTTCATCCCATACGACTATTCTAACTGCAGCAGCTCTCCAATCCCTTAAGCCAGGGGTCTCCAACCATGGCTACGTTCGACTTCAGTTCCTAGAATTCCCCAGCCAGGGGGCTGAGGAACCAATGAGTGGAACCACAAACAAATATGTGTGATACCCAGTGGTGAGATTCAATTTTTTTAACTAACGGTTCTGTGGGTGTGGCTTGGTGGGTGTGGCAGGGGAAGGATACTGTAAAATCTCCAGTCAGAGGTGGTATTTGCCAGTTCTCTGAACTACTCAAAATTTCCGCTACCGGTTCTCCAGAACTGGTCAGAACCTACTGAATACCACCTCTGAAGCAGGGCAATAAAGATTAGGCTAGAAACAACACCAGAATGTTTCCTTCCTGCCTTCCTTACAGGATTAGCCCTGTAAAGTGGAAAAAAAACCCAAAAGATTTCTTCCAACAACTGGTTCTCTGAACCACTTAGAAAGTTAACAACCAGTTCTAGCAAATAGGAGCGAATTGGTTGAATCCCGCCACTGGTGATACCCTTTTTTTCTTTTTACCACTGCTTCTTTACCAAGCAGCAGACTAATGGGAGGAAACCGCTTAGCAATCACCAAAGATCTGAAGTGATCTCTAATGCATAAATATTGAAATCAGAGTTGTTGCAAATTGCTAGCATCTCTTTCTCTCTTCCCTGGGAAGAGAATGTTAAGCAGACTTAACTGGATGGGGTGTTTCATAGTATCTGAGTCTGTTTAATTCTGTACTCTCTTCCCCTGGGGAAAAAAAAATTGCAGCATTTGTAAAATAGAGGTGGATTTTTGCAGGACATTCAATTCAAATGCATTGGGGTTTTTTGTTATCTGTTGATGCCCCCTAGTGGATTATCTCTGTATCAAAAGTAATCAGTTGAGCTAGTCTTTTATTAACAGATAACGGATAATCAGAGTTGGAAGGGACCTTCTAGGTCATCTAGTCCAGTGGTCGCCAACTGGTGGGCCGCGGCATGGGAAAATTTTGGTGGGCCACAGAGAAATCTCACATCCAGAGCACCCCCCAAAGCAATTAATCCAGGCTATGTGGAAACACCAGGCTGCGCCACCCACATGGCCCGTGGGAACCTTCCCCACCCACTCACTCCTTACCCGGCAAACTTGCGTGCTAAGTTGCTATTTTTCCTTTTTCCAACCATCATCTGTTCTGCTGTGCCTGGAGATTTAGATTAGCTAGGAAGCAGGAAATGGTTGAATTTCTTTGCTTTCTAGTTAGTCTTTAGATCTTCCGCTCTGCTTTTAAGCACAGCCAAACTTCCCTTAGGACTGAAGGTTCTATTATTCAGTGCAGACTCGTGGCAAGCAAATTTGTGAGCTAGCTGATGGCAGATAGATAGATCTCTGAATGATTCTGTGAGCAACTCAATCTGCCTGCCTGCTTTGCCTGATTTTGGGTAAAAGTTGCTCTTTTTATTTAAAAAATCAATATTTATATCAATATTTATAATATTTACATACAAGCCATGCCCAGCCATTCACCACCAAGCCACACCCATAAATTAGGCCACGCCCACAGAACCGGTTAGTGGTCCCTGGGATTTAAAATTATGAGTTTGGTGGTCTCTGCAGTCCAAAAGGTTGGCAACCCCTGTTCTAGTCCCTTATTGAGTCAAGACAATCACATTTGGATCTATCCCCAAAGTCAATAATTTTTTCACCTTCTGCCACCTTTACACATTCACAAAGGATAGTCTGGACAATCCTCACCTCTAGATTTAAACCAGCTTTCCTTCAAAGGAAAACTATCAATGGAGGTTGTACCTCTGTAGACGGTGGACCACTGAATGCTGGTCATGACAAAGTACCCATAAAACCTACTGCTTTTAAGCTGTCCCTGTCACTTTGCCAGAAATATCATGGTGGGGATATAGGAAAGCATGAAGCTGGGTGAGATACACCTCTGTTCTATTGCAATCTTCTTTCTCAGAATCCAAGAGTTGAACATCAGGAATTACCAATTACCTTGTCCTTATAACTTCACCACCAGGCTTTGACATAGAAGACACAGCTTCCCCAGCAGGAGTGCCAAGTCCACTTGTTTCTCCTCCCTTCCATTTTGGGGTCACCTGTTTCTGGGGAGATTTTTCTTCATCCATATTTTGGGTCTCCATGGGATTGCAGAAAGGACCATCATTCTGGACAATGTCTTCTTTTTGTCTGGGGCAATCCTTGGAGCCATTCGCCCATCCCAAAGGCTCTGTTGGTTTAAGCTGGGCCATCTTCTCTGCAGCACATGGTCTGGAGACCTCCTTGGAAAGGACCACACCGGACAAGTTTACCTTTCCACGTGTTCCGTGTTGCTCATCCAACTTGGTTCCCGTTTTGTTTTCTACAAAAATATTTTCACAGGAATAAGATAACCACTGGGGAAACATTGACAAGAGTTCACATCGCAAAAACAAATGTAAGAACTTAACAACGCCTCTCTTTTTATCATTTCTTCACATTTCTGAAATGGGTGCCTCATTGGCCAGAGCCTATACTCTCTGAAAGAATGAATCTCTTACTTGTGGTTTCCCCCAAGAACCCAACTTTTACTTCCCATCACTGCCACCCAGCACAACTGCAGAGGCCAACCTGGATCTTGCACCGGCATCAACATTGTAATGTTCATTAGATGTTGACCAGTTGTTCTGCTCCTGCCATTGACATCTCTAGTTTTTGTCCCAAGGGCTCGACTCCTTCTCTTATTGGCAACACCGAAGCAGTGGGGGCAGCTGTTCAGAGGTCACAGTCCAAAGTAAAGAGTTTGGTGTCCTGGCTATCACCCTGTGCCTCTCAAATTAGACTTCAGGTTTAACCCTCTTGCCAAAAAAGAACTCAACAGTTGATCTCATTTTAATTTGGACTTAGAACCAAGGGAGCCAGCCATGTTCTGCAGCTTTCTTTTTATGGATGTTTTGGAGCAAAATATTGCAATCAACTGGTGGCAGCAACTATATTCCCATTTCTCAAGGGCCAAGCAAGACCAAGCTCTGGAGGGCCACGGATGTTAGGTGTGCTGAATAAGCTCCTGTCCTACAAGACACAGGTTGTTTGGGATATGCGATTTCAGATATTTGTGCAGGGTGGGGAAAGAATTGCAAGGTGAAAAAAAAGCCATTCCTTGAACAGATCAAAGTGAAACTCAGAAAAGCAACATACCTAAAGAGCAATTTTCATTTTAACAGTCAACTTAGCACCTGAAGAGGGTCAGAATCAGACCTGGCTAAACTATCTTCAGTTGCCAAATGAGTGTATCTTTTGGCAGGTCTAAGGCTTAGAGAATGAGGCCTCTATAATTGTAAATGGCATACCGTGTTGAACCAATTAATTGAGTCAAATATTTGCTTTCTCAAAATATAGAATTCATACCACTGACTAAGCTGGAATCACAAGGCTTTAAATGATTTTACAATTCAGTATATTGTAAAAATCTAGCTCTAAGAAGCAAGCTGTCACATTAAACCATACTGTGATTGAATATTGCTTGCTCTGTGAATCGAATAATTATATCAACATGGGTTTAGAATGTGGGCTTTTGGGTGAATCCAAATACATACAGTGTACAATTTTATGAAACAAATTTAAATCAAATATAGGCAACCTGGATTTTGCCAGGTGATTGGACATCAACTTCCATAATCCCCAACTAGTAGGGTCAATAAGAAATTAGGATGTTAGTAATCTTTTCAGCATTTGGAGGTCACCAGGTTGCCTTCGCTGGCCTTAAACAGTCCTATTAACTTATTACCACACATTAAAGATTCTGCCTCAACATTATTTAACAGAAAGTATCTGTAAAATACCTTCCAAAGAATTGTTGCTTTCTGTTTGTATTCCTTTCTTGGGAGTCGCATGCTTTCCTTTTGAACCTTTGTCTTCTGGCTTATCTTTAGTCTAGAAAAGTTTAAAAAAAAAAACCCACAAGGTCAATTATACCCATTTCTTGCGAAAACTGAAACGCTGTTTATTGCTTCCAGCGTGGACAGCACAGGAAATCAAAGAAAATGAAAGTTAAGAGTATTCCATTACTTCCAGCGACTGTTTCTTCTTGCCTGTTTGCAGACATAGTAGGGGAGAGGTTGCTGGTTGAATAGGTAGATTGAATTATGGAAATCAAGAGGTGCTGAACACCTTCAACAATGTGAAAGAATTAACATCCATATCTCCAGTTTCCTCCATTTGTTGCCCTTGTTCACCCGGGATAATCTGTCCCAGACATACCAATTAATGGTTCCAATAAGGGCTGCATCCTGTATTGTGAGATATCCTGAATATCTATGACATGAAACTCATTTCAGAGCTCAACAAATCACAACATTGTCCCAACCTAATTGGTGGAACTCCCATTCCAGAAGCCCTTGTGATGATCTACCTTAGATTAGCAACATACTTGTCCTTAACCATGTCATTTTTGGGAAAAGTTAAGCCTTAGGTACTAGATCCACAATAAGAGATATCCCATCCTTGTGTTCAATAGCTTCTTCTGGAGAATTATTTTGCTAAGAATTAAGCTACTGGTCTATGGGACACCATGGCTGCATGCTTCATGAGTTTTGTTTGCTTGCTCCTGTTACTTACCACTCCTGCTACTATGAGTCGAACTTTGATGCTTACAATCCATAAAACTCATTGCTAATTACCATTAGCAAACCCCTCTATTCAACCATTCCACCAGCTATTTCATAGTCAGATGATTTCGTGTTTATTTGGTGTTTATTTACTTCACTGGACTCACTTGAGCAAAAAGGGACATTCTCAAGAGACTCTGGGATTGTTTATGCATTCGAATTTGGAATCTTTGCTTATTTGGCTCCAGCTTATCTATGCCTTCCTGAGTGATGAGAGATCTATCACACCATGTGGCAGAAAGAGACGTATCTCATGGAACCTTTCTGAAGCTTTTCTTCATCAACTGATAAGAGCCCACATTCAAAACAAGGCCCCTTATGGCAAACCTAAGATTTGTAAGCGCATTAGTTACTTCCCTTGGATTTTTTTTTTTCTCTTTCAAAAAGTGAACAAGCTAATGCGAAATAATGCTCTGGCTGACTATAGTTTGTCTGAGGAATCTACAGAACCATCCCCAAAAGGAAATGATGGAATGAGGATGGACTATCCCTTCTATGGGAAGATATTATATTTTATTTACTTATTCAATTTCTGACGGGGTCCTTGGTGCTCTCTGAACTTGGTTGTTTTCCTGCAGACATTTCATTAACCAAACTAGGTAACATCATCAGTGTTGGGAGCAGTGCTGGGAACACTGACAGTGTTAACTGGATTGGTTAATGAAACACCCACAAGAAAACAAGCAAGCTCAGAGGGGATCAAGGACCCCATGTTTCAACCCGGAGTTAAGAATTTTGTACAAAGAGATTGGCCAGACAGACAGCAGATGAAATTTTAAAAAAATGGAATGTGATTCCTAAACATTTCTCACCCTATTTCACTATTATTTCACTATTTCAGAAGGAAAAATGATAAAATGTAGCCTGACAAACAGCATTTGTAATCACGTACTTTCATTTCACACTTATTTTTAATGCCTGTTTTGGAAAAATTGCAACACTTTTACTGAATTGAGTGCAACTTTAATTTAGAAAAGATATAGAAAAAAAAAAGTTCCCAAATACTGGAAGTTTAGAATAGTAACTTTCCTTATTCCCACCCTCCGAATCGAGTCTTAAATCTCCAGTTATGACTGACATTCCCAATTTAAATGTTATTTTAAATGCCTGTGTTTTCTTTTCTTGCACTCTTCAATCACTCGGTATACAAGTGGGAAAGAGCTCTTGATTTCTTTAAAACGGTTGACTTCGTGAGTGTGAGTTGCCCTGAACGGTTCAAATAATATTATGATAATTTGATCATAATGTTTATATCATTTAATTTTTTGGAAAGAGAAGTTTGGACCTTCGTTTCTTGTTGGTCTTTTTCGTGTCTACTCATTTTTGTTTAAAATACAGCAACACAAAAAGAACAGAAGCAGAGCGTGAATAATGATTTGACTACTGAATAGCAGTAGTCAAAAATACAAAACTATACCAAGAGAGTCTACACGGGATATAATTTCATCAAATATTCCTAGTGTGGGAAAATACAGCGAATGAGAAGGCGCTCACCTTCTCCAAGATTTCAAGCAAACTCCCTTTCCACCAAGGAACACCCCCTTTCAAAATGAAATCCACCATCTTTGAGTTTCTGAACATTTCTCCCAAACACTTCACCATCTTGTCAATAGCATCCATGGAGGTCTCCCATCTTCTCCATCTTTTCCTGGTACTTGGAAGCATCACGATGGTGTCATGCCCCTGTTGGAGTCTGAATCAGAGGAGGAAGCCGGACAGCTGACAGGGAGTGGGAGTGTGGCTCTGCTGGCTGTGGAGGAAACTGGGGAATGGCAAAGTCTGGCTGGGCAGAGCAGGAAGAGGTAGAACAAGGGAGAGATAGTTCAGAGGAAGAATCAGGCCCATCCCCTCTTCATCCTAGAGCACGCAGGGGGGGAATGGAGAAGAGAGCAACGTGGGTTGCGTGGCTTACGAGGGAGGAAAGGGCCCTGATTCCCTTCATTAGCCACACCTGGGAAGGCAGTTGATAAGAAAGGCAGGCTGTATGTGGCAGGCTGCTGGGAGTAAACATGACTTTATCCTGTGCTATCATGGCTTATCTATGTTCCTGGCATCTTCCCAACCGTGTGAGTTTTGCTGTGCCTTCAAGTCTGAAATTCTTGCTTCTGTCCTGCCAAACTAATTACTTCAGTTTGGTTTGTTTGGACTTAAAGTTTGTATTGCTCATGTTTTGGACTTCATTTTCTGCAGTCAAAGACTATTCCTGGGAGAGTTTTTCTCCAGCCAGAAGGTGGAGCTGGACATTTGGGGGCAAGGTTGGAGATAATAAAGGGATTCTTATTGCTTATCTGACTGTGTTGCCTTTGTGTGGGGTCATCACAGATGGCTTGCTTCCATCAGGTTCAAAAATCTCAGTGTACAATTTTTGAGTTTCTACAGATGAATTCCACAGATTGGGTCAACACAAGGTCGTAATACACTTGGCCGATGGAGGCCTTTTCCAAAGTCATCAATCCCTTCGTAAAATTTCTGGAGTTTTTCAGTCAAGCCTTCTTTGGAAATGCAACAGCTTATCTACCTTTTCATTGAGAAGGTTGAGTTTTCATCCATGGTGTTTACACAAGTGCCTTTCATAACCTGAGGCCTATTTATAAATGCTTCTTCAGACCTCGGGGTGCTTTCAGACATTCTGAGGAGAAGGGATTAAGTGGGCAGGCGCTTTTCTTGCTGGAACTAAAGGGCAGTGCTTGGAAATTATATCGGTCTCTAGAAGGAAGCGAACATTCTAGAACCTGCCAAGAGCATGTCATCTATTAGCTGCTATGTAACCCGCTCGTTTCGTATTATCTGTTTTCTTCTTGCATGTATATGATGATCATGATGACAAGTTGGCAGTCGGTTTGAAGAGTCCCTCCCCAGCAGCCTTCCTGCCGTCACAGAACCATTTAAAATTCTTCCCTTGAGAGGCTGTTGATAACCAAGCATCTTAAGAATTGGCAGCAGCTGAATAGCTGAGATTCGTCTCGAGAAGAGGGAAGTTTGGAATTTTGTACCGGATTTTCTGATGGTGCAAAAAAAAAAAAAAACCCACTTTACAAAGTGATTTTTTTTTCCAAAGGAAGGAAGAAGGTGGGAAGGAAAAACTGAATGGGGAATTGAAGCAAGATTAAACTCTGACTCGATAAAAAAAAAAAAAACAGGGGATTGTTGTCGAATACAAAATGTACACATGTTGGCCGACATGCTTAAAATTGGCCAGCAGTCAGGGATGTTAAAAATAGGACGTTAACGACAATGATAGAAAACATGCATCTCTCGCCAGCGTGCCTTTCAAAGCAGAAACAACTCCAATCGAATTCTTTCGGCTGTGCCAAGAAAGCCTTCTGGCTTTTTTTTTTTTCTTTTAAAAAAAGAAGAAATGGCAGATCAAAATTGTTTTTTATGATTAATAGCAAAATCATTACTGTTACAGGCTACTTCTCCCCACCCACCCCAAATTCTTCAGTTCAAGTTTGCATTTTTACACCAGGGATCTTTTAGTAGGGGGGTTTAACATGCATTACATTCCCTAAGAGGACACAAAGATTTGCCTGATTTTTCTATATTCACACAAATGAAGGTTATTGCAGGGGGTTGTTGGGAAGGGTATTTCGCCCTCCCCCGCTTTCAATGTCCAGATTTTTACAGAGTGTGAAGATTAAGGTAGATGGTCTCCACAAGCAAGGCCGACGGTTTGTTATTCTTTGGTCCATTGAATGAAGAAATGACATCCAGAAGAGCCTCTTCCCTTCACCATCCAAAGCCTTTCACCCTTTCTCCTCCAATGAGATCCCGTTTCCAGAACCTGTATTTTAATCTCCAGGGAAGATAGTCCAGATTATAACTGAGGTCACAAATCTCACTCCAGCCTCTGAACCAACAGCCCAATCTGTATTGGATCTCTAGCAGTGGTGGGATTCAAATGTTTTTACCGGTTCTGTGGGCGTGGCTTGGTGGGTGTGGCTTGGTTTGGTGGGCGCGGCTATAAAATCTCCATTTCCTCCCCACTCCTGGGGGAAGGTTACTGCAAAATCTCATTCCCTCCGCACCCCACTGACCTGCTTTCCAGCTCCGTTCTCCTGGGCAGGGCAACAAAAGGCGACCCCACCCAATCAGCTGGGACTCAATGGGAGGCAGAGAAGAGATGGGGTTGGCGGGGCCAGTCAGAGGTGGGATTTGCCGGTTCTCCGAACTACTCAAAATTTTCACTACTGTTTCTTCAGAACTGGTCAGAACCTGCTGAATACCACCTCTGATCTCTAGCATCAAGTTTTATGGGAGATTGGC